TTTTTTTTATTCTTTAGGATCGCATCTGCTCCTGGCTGGAAATACAACAAATATCGCCGACAGTGCTGTTCTTGTAAGCGCACCGATAGCATGCCAAAGAAAGGCTGGAAATTTGACGTTTCAGTGAGTTTTTTTATTATTTCCAGAAAATTTTTTTTTGATAACTGGTTTTTGCACGTAAGTTTTTGAAATTCTTGGTTAATATTTCATTTTGAAGGTAAGTTAACTAAGACTACGCACTAAAATTTAGTTTAGTTATAGTCCCTATTGTTATTTCATAAACTGATTCGTTTATTGCTACTTGTTTTCAGCTACTGGTTATATAATCAAGCTAGAATAGAGGTGATCATAGTACGTGCCACACATCGAAGAAGACATCTACAGGTTGGTCAACAATATACACAACAATGTACTATCAAAAAAATGGAATTTTTTGTCGTCAAAAAACAGAGCTGAAGCGATTTTCATATTCTCAATTAGAAGTGAAAAAATGGATGTGAATATGCACTGCACTAGAATAAATGGATTAGTTCTACTTTTTACAAGAAAATCCGCACTCTATGGCCATGTTTTTCACTTTATAATGTTTACTTTTCTCGCTCTAATCTTTCCCTTTTCTACGGAGTGGGCGGGCTGAGAGTTGACGCGAACGAAAATCTCCAATTTCGTTGTTTTTGGGGAGAGTTGATTGAAGTGGAGATACTAATTTTTTAATTTTTTGCAAATTTTTGTCTTCTGTTCCCACAGTTTTTTCCCACTTTCCCGTTTCTCATTTTCCCATTGTTTTTTCCTTGAGTACAACCTATGACATTGAAAAATTACATTAAAAATGGATTTTTCAGACACTGTTTCGTCCTAAAATCAACTGTCATATCTTACGACCTGGCAACGATATCTGTGTCGTGAACATTCCTTCTGTCAATGAACCTTTTCGCATAGCCATACGAGCTTTTAATCTCAAGGTAAACCCTCTCCTTTTTGCTTTTTATAAATTCATGTTAACGCGCTAATTTTCAGGATAATGTGGTTGGAAGTATGGTCATGCTAAAAAATATAACCTACCGAGCGGAAACGTGTGGAGAATCTCGTAAGTTTCCTATGTTGAAAAGCATCGAAAAATGTTTGTTTTTAGCATTCCCATCAATTTTTGGGTCGATACCCTTGGTACCAAAGCCTTCTTTACCAGTAAGGACTATATCCGATTTGGATTGTGATCGTCCTCGATCGAAATGCAGGTGAATGAAACTTTTTTGAAGAATTTTCTACGGTCTGAAGTTTATTGTATTTTAGATGGAGTAATGCAGAATCAACAGTATCAGAATGGCGAATTGGACGTAATATCGAGAGATGGAAAGAATTAGTCGAGGTTAGAGCTTTGAATTTCTTTTTAGCTTTTGTGTTTTTTTAGTCCTCTTTTTTTATTTTCTCAATTTTTAATTCTTTTTTTT